CTGTCTCCACAGGTTTGGTGCATCATTAAATATCAGCACTCACAAGAGTGTTTTTCAGTGTTTGAATTATTATTTAGAACTGATTCAACACGCTGAAAGTCGATCACGTGACGCTAAGCTAAACTGAGAAGAAAATTATCACAAAAATAGAGCTGAAGTACCTGCGTTGCGTGTGTACTTTTTAATAGCAATCTACCGGGAGAGGTGGCTCAGGGCATCAACTGATGTCACTACAGTGCCTGTTACCGAGAGGCTTTAGGTTCGAGTCCCGACGGTAGGTGGCAGGATTTCCGACACTAGCTTGTCAGCTGGGTTGAATTCAGTCGGAGGAGAATTCTACCAGCCGGCTGCTCTGATAGGTTGGTTTTCGTGGTTTCACCGATTAACACCCGGGGAATGCCGGAACAGTACTCTAACAAAAGAGCCAAGGACCGCGCGCGATCATTCCTTCCTCTTCCTTGTCCTATCCTCACCCCTTACACACACTTACTCGCACCACACTACCACACATGCCGGGAGACCGGTCGGAAGCTTAGACCTTGTCCCGGCTCTGGCGGTGCCCCGCTGGTGTGAGATACTTGTTTGGGGAAACTTAGCCGACGGTAAGTCGGCGCGGAATGTCGCCATCTAGCGGGGAAAGTTCATCTTCACCTACGAAGGAAAATACAGGCACTACACTTATGGGATTAATGACCTTCGCAGTTGAATAAGATCAATAATAGAATCACTAACACCCACCAACATCTTTAATCTATATCAGCTTGCCCCTCTGGTCCACCCTGTCCCTCGACACCTTACCATGTTTGTTGCGATCATTGTTGCTTTCACCATCGTTGCTATGTTCAACAGAAAACATTCATGCATTCTATCGACAAACATTCGGTAGCACTTTTTATCCATAATCACTCTGAGCTTAATTGTGCTATTGGAATGAATGAAAAAGGAAATTTTATTGGCTTTCCGAAACGTCTAACTTTGGTACTCAATATTTCAGGATATTGACGAAAAATGGAAGGACACAATTCTTTTCCTTGAAGTGATGGAAATACGGAGATAGGTGAATTTTTTACGAAATCTCGTACAGTCCAGGGCAATTTTTTTCATTGTCACCTGTGTAAATACATTTTCATTAAGATCTGAATAGCTGTAGATTTGAATGAAAATTAAACCGCAACATGCTGCAATTTAAAATAATAATTTGAACAAAGTAATCGGTTCAATGTTTCAGACATTACCAGGCGGATAGAGAGAAAAAAAAGTGTAAACAATTGGAGAGGTACGGAATGTGTGAACAGAAAGAGATAGAGAAATAATTTGGACTGTAAGTATTGGAGTAAAACCTACTATTTAAATTTGTTTTATGGGAAAAGAAAACCAAAATATTAACAGATAGAAAAGAACAGCTCATTACTAGTAGTGATGATAGAAGAAGTCATATTTGTAGAACAATGTGATACGTCAAGGAAAAGTCAAGGCAAGAATTCAGGTCTTTGTGAGTTACATATCTTTTCACACAAACCTTTTCATGACCAAATAAAATAAAAATGTATGTACATTGAAACCTATTAGTAAAAAAAATTAACTCACAAACTTCGACTACTAGCCACGGCTATATAGTCTCCTGTTCTTTACAATTCTGCGGGAAAACCGGAATCTGCTTGAATTGTTTTTTCCCAGTTTCTAAATGCGCATTTAGTATCTTTATTCGTTGTTAACTTTCTTCGTGTTGGCGTTTCAAGTATTGGTGTTGCAGTCTCATTGTTTTTCCAATTTATTGTGGCCGTTACAATTGTTCTTGTTGTGTTTTCATTTGTTCTTGATGTTGTCTAACACATCACCTGCGTAAGTTGTTCCGCCATGATTATTTTCTGTTACACGTGCCTTTCATCATTATACTCCGATTTTATTGCCCTGCAGGTGTCTAGTTCACGAACAAATCATCGTCGCCAATGTTGTATCTGGAGGAAGTTAGAGTGTGGATTGTAGATAGATATTTGTTTTTCACAAACGACTTTTTTTAAAAAATTTGTTGCCTCTATATCGTCGCAACGCGTCCCCTAAGTCCTAAAGGAGCGTTGAGCCTAGTGGAGTAGTCCTCCGTTATTAAGCGCCCTGCAGGGCCCTCTGTGTAAGTATTTGTCAAGTCACGTCAGTCATAGTCATGTCAGGGAATTGCCGACAGGTAGCGTCTTCGCGCTCGTATCTCGCACGCGCCCTGCGTCATCTACCCATCGGCCAAAATTGGGAAGGAAGAATGATAGGGGTAAGATTTAGGACACTTCACAGAGGTTGAACTCGTTCCTGTGAAGCAGGCAAACTCGTTTTGTCGTCACAAATTTCACATGAGGTTCTACGGGGATTCTACGGGAATCGAACCCTGAATCTCAGTGGTGAAAGGCAAGCGTCTGAGCCTAAGAGCACTAATTTTAATGACAAAATAAACTAAGCATTTTTGTAGATGTTTTGTACATTGTACACGTACCGATGGAAATATAAACTCAAAAACTTGGGCTATTCGGCTGTCGAGTATAGAAGCCGCTCCTCAGGGCCTTCCAGTTGAGGCGATCAGTGCTGTCTAGTCCGCTCGATGCCTGCAGCTTTCGCTGGGACGAGGGTATGGTTGGCGGCTGACGCTCGGGCCACGAGGCAGGCGGTAGCAGCAAGGGCGACGAAGGTTATAGAGAACTACTCTGAGAAGGGACCAATTTGACAGGTCGAAAAGCAAATGAAAATCATTTGGTAGATAACTTTGCAGCAAGTTGTGTCCAATCCTTTTACAAGTGAGCCGTCTGCATACTCATACATTAAAAAATTGAACACATAAACATAATCTTCAGTTATTGTGCCAGCAGTACAAAACAGTGGCTGTCAAAGAGTTCCCTGTCTTAGAGAAATCTCTCTTTAGCCGTCCACAAGCGAGACAACCTTCAAGTCACAGTGGCAAGTTAGTGCACAGACATACAGAGCAATATAGCGTCTAGAGTGGGATCTATTTGAATGTGTTATTATAACAGACCCTAGCTTACACACATGAAATATAAGACTATAATGTATTTCTGAATAATCAGTTCATACAATGCAATCTAATCAAGAACTATTGTAATAGTTAAGCACTTTCTTTCCTACGTAACCTCAAGAGGATGATACCTAAGGCCGAAACGTTGTGATATAAATAAGTGATATAATTAACTGTTTGTTGAGTATTTTAAATATTTAAGAATACACAATTGACGAACTAATGATATTACTAATGTAACACATTTATTCTCATAACTAGTTCTGTATTAATTTACCAAGGAACTTCGTAAGGAGAGAAAGTTGTGTAATCGTGCGCCGGAAAACGGCGAATTTTCGGCAGAAAAACTCTTATTACCTGGTAACGAAAAAGTGGATACATCCTGTTGCTAAATTTAGAAAAAATCCTCTAACACGTGATGTACCCAAATACGTGTTTTGTGGGTCCTTGATACCGAGAAATCGATTGACAGCAAAACATCTATCTGTCTGTGGTCAACGCTAGCCCCAAAACCTTTCAGCTGATTTTCTCCAAAATTGATATTCCCCGACCGATCTGAATGAACTCGAGGCTTTGGAAGTGTTAAACGGATATTTTGCCTTGTTTACCCTCACATTAAACGTGAAGGTATACACAAATTTAGGAAAGGCTGCCTTTTGTTTCCATTGCATTACATTGCGTTTGTAGGCCTCTACCAGTTCTGAAAAACTAATAAATCAACTTAAACTGACATTCAGTGTATTCTGTAGAGATAATAAAGACATCTACGTTACATCGATTTACGTGTTTGAACGTACATTTAACACAGAATTGCAGTGTATTAGATGATTATACACTGATTATGCACCATTGCGAACGTCGACTCCAAACGATTTCGTTTGCCGAATAACTTAACTGCGCTCCGTGAGGTCATGGAAGTTAAGCAATTCGAGAAATCACGGATTTCCGGAAGGGTTAGCGTATGAGAAGCTCGGTTGCTGACGGTGCCGAGCTCGTGGGCGAAGGGATAAAATGCACTGACTGTAACGAGGCAACAAGACAAAACAGAGGATTACTGCTGTTATGCTCAATGCCCAAGAAGGGCTAAGAGACGTGTTTCCAAGAGGCAACAAATTAAAAAAAATCTCTATTACAACAATGTGGATAAGTTGATTTTTCCGTGAAAAGCGTGCTTTTACACTCTGGGTAAGGCGTAACTGTAGGCATTTACAGCGATAGCATTTCGTGTATGATTGGTTATAATTATCTACATTATTAATGTCCAATGTGCGCAGAAATTGATAGGAAACTATGCTGCCTCCGATCTTACAGGTATGAGAGGTCCCGTGATTTCGTTAGAAACCCAGGAACTCGAGAAAAATTGATACAATGAAACAGTTTCAATTTCTACTGAAAAATACAACTGTGTTGTTCCATCTATTTGTATTCTCAGTGCGTCACGGCATATCATTCAGGTAACAGCAAGGCTTCAAGGAAGAGGCCGCTCGCCATTATTGTATTACGCGTATGTGTTAAGTATGCGTTGTGGAACAGCATTTTTTT